ACATAATAGGGAATAGTAAAATCGTAAGGATACATTTCTGAGCCTGGCTTATTTCTTTGGACCATGAGTGAAACTATACTTGCTATCTGTAAGCCCTCTCCTCCCATTCTTCCTTCAACTCACTGTGCTGGGTTTCTGTCCCCTTAATTCTACTCCAGTTGCTCTTGTTCAGGTCAGCAGCAACCTCCGCACTGCACTGTTAAATCCACAAGCCTTCTCCAACGGAGGCCTCATCTCACTCGGCGCATCAGCTGCATCTCATGGAGTCCACCTCTTCTTCCTTCTTACACACTCATCAGACTTCCTCTGACCTTACAGGTGGCTCCTGCTGGTGTTGTTTTTATCTCCTCCTTCACATACCTCACTTTCAATCCTCTTTATTTATGCCCATTCCGTATCATCTATATAATGATGATGTTCACATTTCTCTATTCAGGCTGAGCCTTCAGCTGACCACCTAACACATCTTTCAGATATCTAGTGGGCATTTGGGGCTTAAAATTGACTCAGTGTTCACCTAATGTGCTCTTCTCACAACATCTTGTATATGAGACAATAGGAAATCCATTCTTCCAGTTGTTCAGGAAAATAAAACCTTGGAGGCCTCCTTAATTTTCTTTTTGTCACATACTGCATCTACTCCTCTGTAAAGTTCTATTGCATCTACTTAAAAAACACATCCCAAATGCCTGTTTTTCTCCTCCTCCACTGCGTCACCCTGGATCTGGGCTGCCCTCCTCTCTCATCTTCCTGCAATGCTGTGATTGCTCTGAGCTGAGCTGGCTGCCTGCTTCCTCCTAAAGTCGAGGTTAGGCCATGTGACTCTTCTTCTGAAAGACCTGACCCCCTCATTTCATTCCAAGTAAAAACCAAAGTCCTTAAATGGCCTATTAGCCCTTACGTAATCAATATCCCTGCCTCACCCTTTTACCTACAAACCTTCCGTATTCCAAGTAATAGCATTCAGCTTGGGCTCACCTGCTTCAGCTTAGAAACTCAGAGCCTTCCTTGAACTCTTCCCCCTCACCTTTGCACAGCCAGTTATTTGCATCAATCTGTTCATTGTTGCTTCCTTTCATCTCTCAAATTTGCATACATCTTTCCATTGCTGACGACAGTTTCTCCCCACTTCCAATTTCAACTCATCTCAAATCTACTTACTATGTATTAATAATAATCTTTCTAGTCAACTGCAAACCTGTTTCCATCATTCCCCAGTCTAACACCAAAGCCCTTCCTCTTCAACAATTTGTTTTGATGATTCGTATACTGATGTTTTAATCATAATTCAGGATACTTGCTAAATGACCCCGCGTTATAATACATTCATTGGTTCTCTTAGTGTTTCACAGCATACAATTCATTTTTGAAGGCAATTGGTCTTTGTTCTAGTAAATGCCATTTTTGTCAAGGTTAAATTTTTTGTGCAAGCAATCATGTATAAACCAAACTGTAGATGTGTCTGTTAGTTTAGATTATACTTCAAAATCAAGAGAAAGTTAATCACCTTACCTAAAAGGTACACGTTTACAGAGCGTTTATCTATCTTAAAACTATTATAGATTTCAAATAAAAATATTAAAGAAGAAAAATGAGATATTAAGTGATAATGATGATAGCATTAAATAACATTAGTACTCATAATTTATAAAATGCATTCACATAAGTAAACTCATTTACCACTACAAGTACCCTAGAACTAGATATTATTTCCCCTTTTCAAAAGAGCAAATTAAAGATCGGAAAAGTTAAATAATTTGATAGAAAGTATTGAGCAGATCAGTGACAGGACCGACTCAGATTCAGTCTCTCTTTTTTTTTCTTTTTTCATTCTCTTTCAATACATACCATGTGGCAGTTTTTAAGGTTTTTAAATACATACTTTTTCAAATAGATAAATGTCAACCTTAAAAATTTTACTTTAAAATTTAAAGTTTTACTCTTTAATGGGAGGCAAATCAGCACTGATCTTCCACATTGTTATCTACTTTAAATTTTTCAAGGAAATATGAAAGAAATGCATTCTGTTAGAAAACTATAAAAAAATACTACTGGAAACCACTTCAACTGTTACAAGGCTGGAATTTAGTTCTATTCAAAGGCAGACCTGACCACATCCTGAGGGCTGAAATTTCTCCACACATTTTGCGTGGTACTGGTAGAGCCCTGGCAGTGTGAAAAGTGTGTTCTTACCCTCCCCGCTGCAGTCAGTCAGACTGCAGAGAGGCAGCAGGGCTCTGAGACTAGATCTGTAACTTCTCTAGCTTTAATTATAAAGAGAAAGGGAGAAAGGAAGAGACTAAGGAAGGAAGGGGCAGGAGGAGGGAGGGAAAGAAAGAGACAGAAAGAGAAAGGAAGAAAGAATAATTTATTTACCTCGGATTATTGAAAAATATTTAAAACTTAACCATCAGAAAAATAACATTCTAACCAAAATAAAGCCAAGAAAGATTTTCCTAAAGGCAAGTAGCAAAATACTTGTCATTGTTCCCATTTTACGATTTTAAATCTGGAACGAGTACTCAAATGAGTACTGATTGAATAAAATTATATGCCCAGAACCCTTTCAGTGGTCCACACACTGTTTTTCTTTGCAAATCACATCCTGTCTCTGCTCTGCTATAAAACTGCATCTAGTACATGGCAGACAAACAATAAATGGTAGCTGACTGAATGTTAGGTTTGATGCAGACTGCAAAGAATTATGTTAATATCATAATTGCTACTGACACTACTAACAGTTATTAATATTTATTGAGCACTAAGTATGTACCAGATATTATGTTAATCACTGTAATGTATTATCACACTACATGGCTAGTTAATCTAATTAATTTATTGATACTCTAATTCTATAGATAAGAAAGTTCTAATATAAAAAAGGTCAAGTCTCATAGCCGGATGAGAGGCTGAGTCTCCTAATTACTAACCAAAATTAGGCAATCTGACTTCAGTGCCTACAGTGTGCCAGAGACCCATCTATTCTAGTGGACATTCTTGAAAAAGAGAAGACAATAAATAAGCAAACTAGTAATCAATATTACTTTGTCTAGTAAATAATGCCAGGGAAGAGAAAAGGGAAAGATTTCCCAGAAATGACTAGAGCAATGTACAAAAATGCTTAAGAACATGGACTCTAGCACCAGGCTTACATCATAGCTCTGTCTTTCTGGGTTGTTATTTGTGTCTGTTTCCTTATCTGCACAAGGTAATGCCTAATTCATATGGCAGTCATAAGATTAAATAAGCTGGTATACATAAAATCTCTACAGCATTGTGTTATGGTTTAGATCAAAAAGTTCCCCTAAACGTCTCATGTGTTGTGGGATAAAACTTTTAGAAGGTGGTTGGATCATGAGGCTTCTAACTTCCCCAGTGGATGAATCCATTGACAGCACGACTGGGAGGTAATGAAAACTTAGGAGGTGGTGCATATTTGAAGGGAGTAGGTCATGGAGATGCAGGACCTTACAGACTTTGTCTTGTCCCTGGCCCCTTGCTCTCTTTTTCTCATTAGGTGAGCAGCTTTCCTCCTCCATGCCTTGCTGCCATCATGCTTTTACAGCAATGTGATCACCTGATCAAGGACTCAAACCTATGAAACCGTGAGCCAAAATAAACCCTTCCTCCTTTAAGTTGTTTTTCTCAGGTGATCGCACAGAGTGCCCAATTCATTAAATACTTACTTATTACTGTTGTTGTTTTGTTTCTTTATTATTATAATTATCATATTGAGAGCTTGTACTCGATATAAGGTGGTCCAGGAAAGCCTATATAAGGAAGTACATTTGAGTGAAAACTTAAACAACACTCAACCACAAGAAAATTTAGAGATAGACATTACAGGCAGAAGGGACGAAAATGCCAAAGTGCCACAGCCAGATATTCAGCAAAGAAGAACAGTGTGGGCCAAAGATCAAATGAGAGATAGTCAGGAACCAGGTTGAATTCGGTTTCACTAGCCAGGGTAAGAAGGTGGGTTTTAGTCTAAGTTCAACTAGAAGCCTTCAGTGCATTCCAAGCATGGCAATAACAAGCTCTGATTTGCCTCTTATCACTACTGGTCGAGTTGGTATGGAAGACAGGATTATAATTTCCACAGAATCTAAATCTTACCATTTTCATCAGTCATCACTGTTAAAATCAGTTTTCCCCTTCTGAGGAAAAATAACTCCTGGCTGTATTTTGGAATGTTTGTATTAGTGCTTTTTAAAAGTAGAGTCAGATTAAAGGACTTAATATGAGCATATACACATGCTCTTTGCACACACATTTTGAATAAAGATTACATAGAATACCCAAAATGCCATATTTCTGATTCTAAAATTCATATTAATCATATCTACAGGGTTTTGAAGAAAAAAAATTGAATAGTTCACTGAATGTAAATTAGACAGAAGGGAAAGAGACTGGGTTCCATCTCTCATATTTCTCTCTCTCAGCCTTACTAGTTAATTACTAGCTCCCTCTTCCCCAAAGAAAGAAAGTCTCCTAAATCTGACTGAGTGGAAGCAGGTATGTTTTACTGGTGGGTGCTATGGCTTTCCTTAATGTTCTCCTTACTTTCACACCCCTCCTCTCCACGTTTATCATGGTTTAAGCAGACTTACAGCCCACCTTGGCAACATTTTCCAACTTGGTCTTACCAAATATCCTTGGTATGGATACGCCTCAAAGCAACTATCAACAAAGCCATGTGCTGATTAGTTGATACCACTCTGTGTAGAAAGGTATATAGCAGTGGAAGAACATTTTTAGGTCTGTAGCTATTTTATTACCATAATAATACTAAATCATTTTTACTACCTGAAAGATTATTAATGTATTGAAAAAGAATATTATACCCACACTCTAACATAAATCTTAAAACCCCACATTGCCACACATGTATATAAACCAAAAATATAATTTGTATGAAGACTCTTCTTAACTCTGCTAAATTATAAAGGCTTTAGTCTGAGAAGCTCAAAAGTACAGTTGCACAAAGTGAACTGCTGTACCTGCATGTTCAGTTCCTTTGTTCTTGACTTCCATGGCTCCCATGGAAGAGGTAGGTGGACTAACAGCAGGGCTGGAAGTAGAGCTTGCACACACTGCAGACGTGCTGATTTCGAAATATTCTTGGTTGTGGTTCATTCGATGAAAATCCAGAGAAGACACAATGGATGTTCGTTGTTTAGGCTAAAGTAAACAAATGTGACAAGAGTATTAATAGCATCACATTTATCTTTAGCCCAATCTCTCCATTCATTTATCTGTGACAATTTCAGTTAAGCTCTCTAGGTTCTAGTCCTTAAATATAATTGTGCTTAGAAGCAGATAATAAATGACTTGATGAATTAAATAATGAAAAGATTGTTTAATTAAAAATATTATGGCATAGCTGATATAATATTTAGACTTTTATATGATTTCCCCCAAAGATGAGAAAGACATATTGCACAGCATTTCTCTTAATGATCAATTTTGAAAGTTGCAACTTTAAGTCATTTTTCATTCAACTAACATTTATTAAACATCCGGCATTTGCTAGACCCTGAGGATATAGAATCCAATAATAAAAGGTCCCTTACAACATTGAAGTATAATTAAAGCAGTTCAATTTTTTGATTCTTTATATAGTCCAAGGAATTGGTGGCATTAGATATTGTCCCCAAGTACCATATGCTGGGATTTAATCGCCAGAATTAAGTAAAGTTATATAGAACATTTTCTAGGATCTAAGAATCTACTTGGTATTTATAGTGAACTTTGAATCTCTTCTTTAAGGATTTTAATTAATCCCCAAATAGCAAGAAAAGTCAATTTAAAAATAAAAGTTAACATCATGGAGTAATAATAGATATAATCCATAGCCTTTGTCACTTATGTATTATTCCCTATAGCAGTTTTCCAATCTTGCCTATATTTTAATTAGATTCACTTTTTTTCCCTAGCCACATAAGTTTCTGATATCGTCCTTAGGATAAATTGCAATCTTTTTGGCTCTCAGATGTGTGTGGACATTTCCCAAGAATCAAAGTTTCACTTTGTATTCTTTATGTTTATATTACTGAAATATTAATAATTTATTATAAATATAAATATTATAATAAAGGTAAGTTTTCTATAATATAGTGAAGTTTACTGCATTTTACTTTTACCAAAGTACAATAAATTGTGGTTTGTTAATGTTTTCATTTCCCTTAAATGATTATTAATTCAATCATTGTACTCATAGATTACTTTCATACAAGATACTCAAATACCCTGGCTCTTCCTGCTTATCATGTTCTTTTCCAATAGATATCATTCAGTCCATAATATAAAATTATATGGGAAACATCTGTTTTCATGGAATTTTTAATGTAAGATGTGAAATTATCACAATAGACCTTATTATTTTATCATTGTAATGTTTTATGAAAGAGGTTGAGAGGCACAAATATTGTTCTACAAGAGAGTGTAAGTCATTTATTATTATGACACATGCACTCAGTAATAGAATTCAAATTAGTACCACACAGGATTTGGTTGCTTTTGAAGTATAAAAGATCAGAGTTTAATGTCAGGCCTGGTTTCTCATTAAATGTCCGTGGGGCTACTGAATGTCAACTCACATTCAGTGGCCTTTCCACTGGGCTCTGGAACAGCAGTTAAAGGGGCATAAGCTGGGACACAGGTGTAGCCATCATTCTAAGTTTTTCTTGTATTGCATTTTTATTTCACTTTATATATAAGCAATAGACCAATTTTTTATAATGTTCTATCCCATCAGTTTTGTAAAGGTGAAGCCAACTGATGTATATGCTCCCCTTACTTATAAATGTTTCCCAAATATATGTTTCTGAACCGTAGCCACCCACAGATCTAATTGCATTAAAAACAATTTGTTATTTAGTCATAAAGACAAACAGGCTATTTTTTGCTGCATTAATTCATTCTATAAATATTTGCTGAGCACACAGTAAATCTCAGAAATTGGTAAATGCATGGTAAGCACTGCACTAGGAATAAAAGTGAGACTTTGTCTTTGTTCTCCAGGTGATTAGAGACTTGAGGTGAGAGGAGAGATGGTGCATAGGGAAGAGACACACTATGTGGAAGCCTGGAATATAAAGGAGCCAAAAGGTAGGTCTCTACTTTAGGAAGGTGATCAGAAAAGGCTCTAAGGACAGGTAACTCATAGCTGACTTCAGTGAAGCAGAGCTGATAGGTAGATGAAGGAGAAATGTGGACAAGGAAGTACAAAACTGCAAATAACTCAGTATGGCCAGAGTACAGAATCCGCAAAGTCAGCAGTGGGTTCGAGACATGAGATACTGAAAGTTGCAGAGACCAATCATAAAAGCTTCTAAAAGCCACGTTAAGAAGTTTCATCCTTAACCTGAATGTTTTAAGTAACCAATGAATGATTTCCAAGAGTGCTTCATAATTGGGCTTGTATTTTAATAAACTCACTTTAGCAGTCTAGAGAATGGTTTGGTCTGATAAGGACAGCAGAAGGGAGATTAGTTAAGAAAATTTTACAGAATTCCAACCAAGACATTGTAACAAAGCAGTAGCAATACAATTGGAGATATCCATGTTTTTAGGAGATGGTAATGTGGTTAACTTTCTTGGACTTGGTGTCTGATGAATGGGCTGTGACCACTGATCCATTGATTCTTTTTTTCTTTTTTTGTACCGGGGATCAAACCCGGGACCTTGCACTTGCGAGGGAGACAGCAGAAGCACTGAGCTAAATCCCTGGCCACCATTGATTCTAAGTAAGAAGTCTATGGTGAGTAGCTTCTCAGTTGGGTGGATGCCAAAAGGTAAGCCTATGCCCCTCTCTCCATGGGAAACACAAATTTATACACCTGTCTACCAGAGATACACAAGATGTGTGCTTGTGTGTGCTCCTGAGACCCAGTTTAGACTGCTTAGTCTGTTCATCCAAATCTACATGATAGGTCCCTTTCTTTGAGCAGAGTGCTTTGATCTAACTGAATATATCCTCAAAGGACATGTCTGGAGGAGGGGAGGTAGGCTGAAGGAAATTCCAGGGAAACAAAAACTCAGATCATCTGACGTTCTCATTTGCATCTTTGAAACTATTGGTCATCACTAGTAAATGTGGAATATTGAAGAAGAAGGAACTGCTGAAAGCTCATTGATCATTTGAAGTGAAGAAAAGTAAGAATTGTTATTTTAGTCATGCTCTGAGACAGGAGTCAGTACTCTATGGCCTGTGGTCCAAATCTAGCCCTTCCTGTCTCTGAAAATAAAGTTTCATGAAAACAAAGCTATGCCCATTGCCCATTAATTTGCTTGTTTATGGCTGCACTTCCTCTACAAGGGCAGAGTTGAGTAGTTGTGAGAAAGACCATATCATCTACAACACCTAAAATAAAAACTGTCTGGCTCCTTAGGGAAGACATTTGGCAACTCAGCATAAGGGATAATTTTACTGATTGTTTTAGTGCTCAATACAATCATAAGCATAGCTTCCCTTTATTCCATAGCTTTTCTTGCATTTGATTTGAGCCATGTGGCTGTTAACAATTGACTGTTTATAGATGAGAACTTTCTCTACCCCTCTCTTAACATCCAGATTATGTAGATGCAAGTTGAAGGAGGGTCATACAACCCATATTGGACTTTATGAGAAGTTTTCAGAAACTTCCTTTATGTTATGTCATTAAGATTGTGGGATTGTCTGTTGTGTCCTCTAGCATTATTTAACCTAACTAGTATAGAATGTAGTGGCTGAGAGAGGCCAAATGATTTATTTAAGATTACATGAGTAATCTGCAGAAGGGCTTAGATCAGAAGAAAAGTTCATATGGTCAAATCTAGGGAAAAGCAGATGGAGCCTCAAAACATGAAAGACAAAAACAGGACTGATTAAAAAGGAGAACTGAAATAACAACAGTGGGAGAAAAGAATAAAGAGATGGTACAGTATTAAAAGTGGATATCAAAGGGGATGGGTCTATAACATTCACAAAAACTTTGATTTTAATGCATTCTAATTTTTTAATACTTGAATGGAATTCTACAGAGCCACTAGTTATAAGGAAATTTCACAAATTCACTGAAATTATAAATGGGATTTTCCAAGTGTCAACATGTAAAATGAGCTGTGTTTTCTGTGGCTTCTCTTCCGGAAAACATCTCCATTGCCTGAGGTCTAGCACTCTTATCTCTACTTCCCAAGTCACATATGAATACATAAGAGGAGTCAAAAAACTACAGCTCAGAGGCCAAACCCAGGCTTCTGGCTATTTTGGTAGAGAAGGCTGTGAGCTAAAAATGTTTCTTACATATTTAATAGTTTTTTAAAAATCTAAGGAATAATTATAGTTCTGACATCTAAAAACCGTATGAAACTCAAATATTTCTGTGGGTAAATAAAGTTTTATTGGGACAAAGCACTGCCCTGCCTTTTGTTTACCAGCCATGGATGTTTCCCTGCTATATAGCAGGTGAGTAGTTGCTAGAAACTATAAGAACCACAAAGCCTAACTATTTCACTTTCTGGTCCTTTACAGAAAAAGTTTTCGACCCTTACAATAGCATGATTAGGGAATGTCTCTGAAGAGCTGAAACTGAACAGACATCAGTTGATGGCCAAGAATCCCACCAGTAAGGTGCAAATATGGCAGGAGGTAGGGTAAACACACCAGCAACTCCGAGCCAAAGCACAAGCTCCATTATCTCACAAACTTCACTTACAAAATAACAGTACAGACATAAAACCCTTAAGAATTTTGACCAAATGGCACTAACCTCAAGCAGAGGGCCCTTTTAAGTGCAGGGCCCTGTGAGGCTACACTTCTTCCTTCATCATGAAGCCCGCCCTATGTTAGTTAGGGATTGCTTTAAAGGGACAAATGTGTGAGCTTCCTAGGGTCACATAGAGGATGATATGCTTTCCTTACACTTATCGTGGATCCTCTTCATCAATCAGAATCTATTATCATAAAAATATTTTGTTTTATTTAAAGATGTAAGTTAAAATAAGACAAGGAATGATCAAACTATAAGTGAATGGTTAAATTAAAAAATTTTTATTACAGTAAAAGACACATTACTACTACTCCCCTTAAAATACCTCCCTTTGCTTGAAACACACTTATGCCATTGTTCTTGTCACTTTCTGAAGCAGTTTCAGAAGTCCTCTTCCGTGAGTGTCTCACGAGAGGCACCATCATGGCT